TCACTTTGGCAAGAACTGTGTCACATGACTACTTCTGGGTGCAAGGGAAGCCAGAAAACATTAGCATTGTTGTTTTTTAAACCTAGGTATATTAGCACCCCACACAGAACCAGGATCCTGCTAATCATGAGAACGTGAGAATGGATATTAGGTAGGCCACGGAAAACCCCCCCACAAAAGCTTACATTTATTGAGCACTTATCAAGTGCCAAGTACCATGTGGAGAACTTTGCATGCATTATCTCATTTAATTCTCATAACTGCCCAGGAGGTGAACATTCACCATTCCCATTTTAAAGCTGAGGAAACTGAGGCTCCAAGAAGTGACTTGGCCAAGAGCTCAGAGCAAACAAATGATGAAGCCAGGATATTTAAGAGGCACTCATGCTAGGGGACAAACCCTTCACCACCACATTATATCTCTATAGTAAAGACCAAAATGTAAATTACATCCGAGGCTTTTCAGCGCTGTTTCAGCTTCTTTATAAAAGACGGGGGACACAAAGCTCTCTGCACAGAGTGCCAGGGCCTGCCTTTTCTGCTGCTCTGCAGTTTCCACATCGTCTTTCTCCCAGGAATGACAGCAGCGGTGGCAGGCTGAACTGGCTATGATGCATTTACCAGAAGGTAAGTGTTTTAGATATGGTTTGGAGGGAGTTCAGGGGAAACATTTTCAAGGACTTGACTTACAGAAATGATTGATGAAGCAAGATTAAAAGAGCTAAGCCTATGTGGGCTGGCACAGTATGAAAGAGACAGACGGAGAAGGCGGCACAAAAGTCAAACCCGTAGACAGCCTGACAGTTCCAGCAATGGAGGGGAGGGCTGCAGCCGTGTGCGGCAGAGGGGTCAGCACTCAGATCCAGTTGAGAAGGGAGAAACAGCAAGCCCTTGGCTCTCTGAAGCAGATGTGTCTTCAGTGCTCGCTCTGCCATCGCGCTGTGAGGGAGGTGGGGGGGCTCCCACTTTCATGGGAGCCAGGAGGCTCCATCAGAAATGGAGCTGTTTCCTGGGAAATAATGATCCAGGTAGAACTCAGAAACCTGGTCTCCCCAGGGGTAACGGCACAACGTCTTTAAGTTGAGTTTCATATTTACAGACCGGCTGGGCAACATTCTTCTCTTTTAACCATCACAACAACATTAACCCCATTCTGCAGATGAGAAGCCTAAGGCAGAGCCGGCTCAAGGGACTTCTGGTTCAGGTGATATCACAACAGTGGCAGATCCAGCAGTGGGGACAGCATCAAAAGTGACATCTTCACTCGATACAGTCGCTGGCCCATCGTAGATGCACAATAATGTCATCTGTATCTAATGTAGCTTAGAGCCCAATCCATGGACATAGCCCTTGGTAGGGCAGGATTTCCCTTAAAGGAAGCTCTACTTCAGTTTCAGTTTGTTCATCAGGAGAAAGACTTACAGAAGAGAGAGCAGGATTATGCTTGTGTAAGACCAAGGAGTAACGCAAACCAAATGCTCATGAGCCAACACGGAATGAGCTAGCTACTAGCCTGAGATTTTATTTTCTAACTGAATTCTTTTCTGTTTTAAGGGGAGCTTTCTGGGCTTTTGATAACATTTTATATTTTGATCCATTTGTGAAAATTCATTGAGCTTTATTTTTTTGCATGCTTTTTATTGAAAGATACTAAATGTATAGAGTTTTTAAAAAATTTATTTTAAAAAAAAGGCATCTTCAACATTCCAAGGTCTAAATTGGCCTCTGGTTAAGACTGTGACATGGCAAAAACCACTAGGTGTCTCCCAATTTCACTCTCCCTTTCCTTCTTAGGAGACTCCTGATTTTTAACTGGGCACAGGGCCAGCTAGAATAAAACTACATCTTCCAGCTTCTCTTGCAACTGGGTATGGCCTTGTGACTAAGTTCTGGACAATGGGATATGAGGTAACCATAGCATGCAGTTTTTAAGAAGTCGCCTTCTTTTCTTCCCCTCTCCTTCTTGCTGGCTTGAAAGTAGATGAAATGGCTGGATCTTTGCAGCTATCTGAGTCCAGGAAGTAGAAATTGTGCCATAGATGGTGGCACACAGGACAGCTGGTCCTTGAGTATCATGGAGTTCCCACAGCAGCCCTGAACTGTTTTTCTCAAGATCTCTTTTTATAAAGGCAAATAAAATTCTATTTTGCTTTAAATGACTGTTTTGGGTTTGTAGCCAAACTTAATCCCAACTGATATATAGGATGGGCACCAAATTCAGGTGATTTTGAGGAAGGAAAGGAGAGAGTGTGATTAGATTCAACTCTATTGGTAAAAAGTTTCCCAAGCTGAGTGGTGGGCATACAGGTGTTAATTATGTTATATTTTATATTTGGGGGGTATATCTAAGTAAAGCATATTAAATCTTCTAAAAAGTAGAAATAGTGTCAAAGCAAGACCATGAGACATGTGGAAAAATAATCAAACAGTGGTAGTTTGGGGCTTCACCCTGGCTCTGGTTCCAGATCAGCTTTGGTGGTAGGGTCTGAGAACGGCCTCTGAATAAGCCTCATGGACAGAGTAAGACTTGAAGGGGCCAGGGTGAGTTCAGCCTGTGGGTACCAAACCCAGTGTTTGGAAGCAAGAAAGGAAGAAGAAGGTGGGGCTGGGCACTGCTCCCTCACCCATGCTGCCCAGACCCCACCTGGGTTGTGTCAACAGGAAGCTCTCACTGCAGACAAGTCATGGAAGGGTCTCTTGACCCCATCCACCCACCCTACCCCTCTGCTCTCCACCAACCCCCATCTTTGTTTTAAGGCAGTGAAAAACAGTGTAATTAAAACCCCACATTTTCACTGCAACAAATTCAACCAGATGTGATTAAAGTAAAATATGGACCTTCCTGCACCCTCTGATCTAATCCTACCCCTCAGAGCTAGCCATGCTGTATAGCAGGGCAAGCAAGTGACTACTGGCAAAGCCAAGTGAAAGGCTGGAACCCCTGGGAAACCAGGCAGATGTCTTGAGCCCCTGGTGTCCTCTGTCTGGACACTGCCCATGGATACCATTGGCTGCAGTGGCTGGGGAGAGGGTCGCTGCTGTTGAAGGGGTGGCCATAGGAACTCCTTGAACTTGTAAACCAGGCTCATCCCTGTGATCAGAACATTCCAGAAGAGGCAAACCAACTTCTTGCCTTGATCGGTCCTCCCCTTTGGCCACACCTCACCAGCAGAAGCCCCAGAACCCAGGGGGCTGTTTTCTCCCACAGATGTGATTCTCTTTCAAGTACTCCTGAGTATCATGGTGCTAAACATCGCAGAAACACACGGATAGACCGGCATCTTTGTGGGATATCTCGAGCCTGATGAATCACGAGTCAGGAAACTGGCACCCTGATCCTCTGAGGGTTCACGGCAGCAGCAGCAAGAAGAGCCTGCGGTGACATGTCTGTCTGTGCTGTGCCTGGTAACCATACAATGGGACACCTGATCTTGTGTCTGCTTTGTCAGAGGATATAAAAATCTACGCTCACCCACTTCCCCAGAAGAGTTGTGGAGACCTCATTGCTTGAATCAGGAATTGAGAGAGAGCCTGGCAAAGGCCTTTTCTTGACTTTTACAACTGTGATCATAGAAGACATTTAATTTTACTACTAAGTTGCCATAACTGAAGAGTTGGGAATGTTCTAGTAAATTCAGACTCCCTGTGTCTGACTTTATACTGAGTAGTAGGCACCAAGAATGTTGTTAAATGGATTTCTGCACAGATTATATTGTGACATCTACATGTTAAATCCCCAAATTTGGGAAATAGGTAAAAATTATCCCCAAAATACAGATGAGTGAACTGAGGCTTAGAGGGCTTAAATAACTACCAGGAGTCACACAGCTGGTTAACGATGGAGTACATGTCTAAACTCAGGCAGGATGATGGCAGTGTCAGAGCCCATGGGCTTAATTTCTATGGTGTTCCGTGTCTCAGGAGTCCTAAGGGAGCTAGATTCATTTAGGTGCTGTGGAAGGGAGGTATGGTTATTCATTATAGGAATCATTATAAGGGCAACTGGAACCAACAGGTACCCTCATTAGAACTTCTTGTCTTCTTGTATCACCTAAGATGCTTTTTGCTGGTGAATCAACAACAAAACAAAATAGCCATAACAAAAAGACCTAGCCAGTGATTTAACTAACAAGGAACATTTACTATCTCATATAACCAGAAGTCCAGAGATGAGGTGACTCCAGGGTTGTATAACTTAGCAGTTCAATAGCAAATGCCAGACCAAGGTTCTTGCCATGCTTTTGCTTTGCCATCTTCAGCATATTGATCTTTGCAAGTTTGTCCCTCATGGTCACAACATGGCTGCCATTACTCTCACACAACAATGTCCAAAGGCCAGAAGAAGACATAACTTTTTCTCATGCCCCTTTTGAAGAATTTGGATCAGACTTCCATTTATGTCTCCCCTTATGCCATAAAAATGCCATGTGTCCATTCTTAAGTCAATCACTGGCAAAGAGAGTGAAATTACTGTGTTGATTGGTTTGGTTCTCAATCATGGCTGGACATTAGAATCACCTGCAGAGTTAAAAACAAAACAAAACAAAGCATATTTATGCCCAGATCCCAGTCCTAAAGACCCTGCTTTAACTGATCTCAGTTGGGATCCATTCATAGGTATCTTTAAAATATCTCCAGATACTTGAATGTACAGCCAGAATTGAAAACCCCTCATTTAAACCAATCAAGATTCCTTCCTGGGGCTGGGGGACCAGCCTGCTGTGAAACACATGTCACCTGATTTCTGAACAGGACTAGGGTTCTATTTAGCAAGAAAGAACATGGAAGGGTGGACCAGGGAAGGGGGATGACCATTGACGAAGCAGCCAACAACATCTGCCTCGTCCCTTCATATCTCCCTATACATGGAGGCTGGGATTCTGGCTGAGTTACTGTCCAATTAGGAAATTTCTTCTTTCCTGGCTCATCAGATGCCTCCAATGATGCAATCATGAGCTGAGGTCACACAAGGAAAGAAGACAATGAGGGGGCGGTAGGAAATTTCTTCTTTCCTGGCTCATCAGATGCCTCCAATGATGCAATCATGAGCTGAGGTCACACAAGGAAAGAAGACAATGAGGGGGCGGGGGCAGGAAAGGCTCCTTCAGCTCAATACTTCTGTGACTCATGGGGAGGCTAAACTTCAGTTTTCTCAGTGGGGTCTCTAACCACCAGGGCAACTTAAAATGCCTGGGCTCCACTCCAGACCTGTGGGACTAGAACATCTCCAGGTGAGACCCAAGGATTGGTATTTTAACAGACACCATGAGAGATTTCCTATATACTCCAAGCTTAAGAACAACTGAATTAGATACAGCAGAAACAAAGGAAAAATAGTCAAAGTTTTCAATTTCTCCAGGAGCAAGAAGCTTACATATTAGCTTTCTTATCATTTTCTTTGGAGTCACAGTGATTTGGGAAAATGGAAAATGCTTGTTTTAAAGTTGGCTCAGGGGGAAGAAGAGAATCAAAGAAACAACTCCGAAAATTAATGTGGTGATGACTGTTGAGTCGCCTGGAGGTGGCGTCAGCAATAGGCCCAGTCCTCCAGCTGGGGGAGCCATCCTGTCCTGAGAAGAAGGCAGCATAGAACGCCCACCCTAAGGAGGCTCCAAGGATGGATTCTGGGGTTGCTATTGGCAGTCTTGGCACTGGCTATGTGTGTGTGTGCACACGATCCTGTAAGGTTCTCGTGAAATACTGGGAGGAATATTCATTGAACCCTACCCCTCGAAAAGCGAATCCTTATCCTGGAGCAAGTGAAATGGAAACAGGCAGCTGAACACAATGACCTTCCAGGTCAGACCCGTCCTAACTGGCTCTCAAGCTTCAAGGCCTCTAGCCTCTCCCCTTGTCCACGCTGCATGAATCTGGTCATGCTGTGTCCCTGAGTCCCGGGCTTCCCCTCGCTCAGAGTCCTCCAGGATCTGCCCCACCTCCTCCCCAGTGGGTGCCCCTCTGCCTGCTCCTCTGCACTGCCCAGTGAGTACCAGGGGTGTCCCCTCTGCTCCCCAACGCTGAATCCCTGGTGGTTCCCTGAATGCCTCCCTGCCATTGCTCTTCCTTCTCCCTCTGCCTGGTTCCCTCCGAACTCACTCTTTAATTCTTACATCCTGGAAGCAGGGCCTGATCTCTTCTCTTCCCTGCAGGAATCTCCAGCGTCACCTTTGGCTCCCTTCATGGCAGGGATGTGAGCATGTTTCCTCTGGCCTTGCGAGCCCTCCGGGGAAGGGTTTATCTCCATGCTCCCTGAGCCTTCAAATCACCAGGAGCCCATGAAGGGCTCGTTGACTGAATGGATGATGTTTGGCTCAGACATCTGTTTAGAGCCACATCCTGAGTCATCTTGTGTTACGGAGGAGTCTCCTCACCTTCCTGAGTGTAAAGCCAGTCACCACAATCCTTCCACCCTAACAAATTAAAAAAACACCAATCTCTGCTGGGCAGAGCCCTCGAGCAAGTGGGAGGAGCTTCCAGGGCAGGAGACTGGCCTGCTGGGAAGGCTGAGGGCAGCCTCTTCCTTGACAGCCTGGGAACCAACATGGAAGAGAGAAGGCAGGAAGGAGGGCAGGTCGAGGAGAGGGGAAGAGCCAGGGGTGAAGGCTTCCTAGGACCCCTGGGCTCTGTATCAGCATCTTCTCTGCCATCTCCGTGAAAGCACCTCAAGGCAGGTGTCACAGAGAACACTAGCTCAGTGAGAGAACGTGCCCAGGGTTCCACAGCAGGACAAGGAGGCCTGGCTTGGGCCTGTCTTTTTGTTTTCAAATAAAGCAGGAGGTTGGGCCAGGGCCTGCTGGGACCATCACCCATGGGCCAGCTGGACAGAGAGGCTGCTCACCTGTCTGGGAGATGGGTTCAGTCTGAGCAGAAGGACAGGTGAGATGCTTCCAGACCTGCGCTCTACAGAGAACTTCTGCACACGTCTCTTTATAAACTGATGCACTAAAGCACCAAGCTCTTTAGTTCTGCTGCTAAAGGTTGTAAAAGGAAACTATGTAAAACACGTGCATGTTAGATAAGTCCAGGAAAGAAGACACACACCTGGTAAGGAGCGATTTTGAAATCTCTTGGGGAAATGACTGCACCCCACCGAGCCTCAGTCTCCTCCTCGGCAAAGTGGAAATAGCAATGCCCTCCTTGTGTAACTGTTCAAGGGTTACATGCATATGAGGTATTTAGCTCAAGTCTGGGCCACAGTAAGTGCTCAGGGAATGAACTATTGTCACTGTTGTTGTTAGTGCTACTGTTAGGGTACATTTTTGTCTCTTCTAAGCACCCAGCAGAGTGCTGAGTCCACGGGGGCAGGAACTGTATCCCTCTCCCTCATCTCTGCATCTCTGGGGCCCAGGCATCATCTGGCATGAAGACGGCACTTGGTAAAGGGCTGTGGGTTGAACTCAAGACTTGTTATTCTTCATGGTTATGTGGCACTTTGCCCTTTTTCAAATCATCTGAATATATTATTCCACTTGAGCCTTGCCAGATGCCCGTGGGACAGGCAGGGTAGGTGGTACTATTATACCCATTTTATAGCTGAAAAAATTGAGGCTTAGAGGATGTTTCCTGCCCAAGTCACATGGCTGAGCTGAGGTCAAGCTCTTCAGACCGTAGGTTTCAGGGCCACCGTGTGGGAAAACCATGCACAGGAAGCAGAAGGTTGCAATGAGCTGAGTTGGAAATCCCCAGGGAGACAGCCCCCTCCATCAGATCCCAGGGCTCCTTGCCCATAGTTTCAGAAAGGGCTTTAGCGGATGACCAAGCCCAGGGCACGTGGTCACACTGACCTTGGCCCATCTTTCTACCCAGGCTCAGTCCTGCTCTGCATCGGAGGTGGATCCCAGCTGGACCTTCTGGCCCAACAGAAAGGACCTTGGGAGCCTGTGGATTTCCGTGCACATCACACAGGGCCTGCCTGGGGCACTTGGAGGAGCTGGAAGCAAGAGGCCTTGCCTCGCTGCAGAAGACCCAGGGTCTGCACGCTGGCCCAGCTGACAGCCTCACTGACAGGTTTAGTATCAGGTTTTATGACTTCCAAGCTTAGTCACTGCTTAAGTCAGTGGGCTCAGAAACAAACACTTAGCAAAGCCATGACCCAGATGCTTAAGCAGGGAAAGGCATACCCCACTCCTGGCAGAACTGGCCTCTGGACCCAGTCTGACAACACTGGAGGCAGCAAAGCTGTGGTTGTGGTGTATTTCGGTGACCCACATGGTTGTCCTTTATTTTCCCCAAGTCCGCGGAAATGAGCTTTAAGGCAGCAGGAAGAAGATGCCTGCTGCCACTAGAGACAGCCCAACACAGGCCAAGGGCTTCTGATCCCTGTCCCCAGGCCTTCCTTCAAAGCTGAGCCTGGAGGTTTGGTGCATCCTTTGGCAGACAGATCAACCCCCTCCTGGCTTTCAGTTCACGTGCTGAAGATGGAAGACTCATCTCTGACCCAAAGCAGTTCAACCCTGGATCCCTACACGTCATTCTCCACCCCCAACATGGCCTCCAGCAAAACCAGACGCCGCTCTAAGAATCTCTCTAGCCTTGACTGAGGTCTGCAGTCCTTCCTCCACTGGAGGCTGCAGTGGGCCCATATGGAGCGGGGACGTGGGGGGACGTGGGGGGACGTGGGGAGAGTGAGGAGGACTGACTGCGGAGCTGCCCTCCTGCTGTAAGGACACAGGATCCTGCTGGTGACCCCTCCTCCAGCTCCTCTGGGGACCCCCTCCCCAGGCTGGAAAAGGCATGAGGTGTTCAGTTAACTGGAAACTGGCTCTGACCCAGAGTCGTGTTCTGTGGCTCGTAACTTTGGATGGGGAGAAAGACTCTGGAGGACGTCCTTGAGCTTAACTGGAGGACGTCCAGTTTCCTCACAGCGGGGCTTCAGGGCACTTGGTCGCATCACGTGCTTTCCTTCTCCAGGGGCTCCCTTAACCCTTTCACCCTGGATCAAGTCACCGTTGTCACGTGCCTGATGGTAACCACAAGAGCCTACTACTCACTGATCTCTTGGCTGAAGCGACAGCTCCACTCCAGCCCCTTGGAATGAATAAGAGTCATCATTTTTCCTTTCTTTTCCTCGCTGGGATTTTTATCTTCTTCAACACAATCCCTCTCCTTCATTCCTCTTTCTCTCTTTCCCAGACACTAAAGTTTTATTCTAAAAATTTCTCTTGATCTCTAGCTAATTATAATACAAGACGACCTGCTGCAATGCCGTTAAATAGCAACTGAAAATTCACACACATGAAATGGGGTGGCATCACTGGTAAGTTTATAAAACAACTGGGATAAGCTCGTGTAACTGGGCAGCTTCAGGCTCTAGGGACCAGCTGTCCATTACATCACAACCAAATTTACATCATTATAGGATCAGCATTAATGCAAAGGTTTTACTGAAGCAATGCCAATACCTATGTTTTGGAGTTCAGCCCCAGAAAGTCCTAGATTTAAATCCCAACTCTGCCACGTGCTAATTTTATGACACAGGCCAAAGCATAAACCTCGATTCCAGTTCTCCATCTGTAAAGTGGTAGAGAATAATACTTACCTCAGAGAGTTGTGAAATACTGTATCAGATAGCTACTGCTGTGTAATAATCAACCACCACATCTCAGGGACATCCAACAATAAAATATTTATTTCTAATGTTTCTTAGGGTCGGCTAGGGCCAGTTGATGGCTGGGCAGCCCTGTTTCAAGTTCATAGGCTGACCCCAGTCTATTCCATGAATCACTGAGGGCCCAAGCTGAATGGCAACATCTGCCTGGGGGAATCTCTTCTCCCAGCAATGGCAGAGACACAAGAAAAGACTGCTCAAGCAAGTCCCTGCTTGCAGCTTATCTACTAATATCCTATTGTCTAAAGTAAGTCACGTGGCTGAGCCCTGTGAGAAGGATCAGGAAGCACAGTCTGCCCACAACTGGTCCATGGCAAGAGCATGAGTGCAGGGAGGAGTGAAGAATCCGGGTTGATAATTCAGTCAACCACAGAGGACAATGCTCATTACAAGCAGCTATTCAGCTCCCGACATGTGGTAGGTGCTCAGGAAAAGGCAACCATGATCATTACCATGACCCCTTAGAGGCTGGGGAAAGCCAAGTGTCTGTGACTTATCCTTGGTAAGCAGCAGAGTCAGGAATGGGCCTCAAAGCATCTTTACTGCTATGTTCAGCACTTTTTAAAGGGTCCCCTCACCAGCCTCCCATGGCTGACTTATCCCAACCTCATACACTGAGGGAGGAGGATGGACGGTGGGAAAGTAGAAAGAGAATCTGGGCCACAGCGGTCTAAGATACGTCCACAACATGTAGACTGACTCTCAAAAGGGAAATCGATCAGCTGGTCCCTTCACATTTGCTTAGTGATGGGGAACTGGTGGGAAGAACAAGGCTGTGGGTTAGAATCCTGGTCGGCCACTCCCTGGCTGGGTAAGTGCAGGCTCCTGCAGACTGAAGTTCTCCCTGAGTGGTCTGTCTATATAGGTCCCCATGTCATTTACTCTCACGCTGCCCTTGGCCCCCCATCTTTTTAATGTATTTTATGGTGATGTGTATTTGTATATTTATTTGTGGGCTCATTTATTTAACGTGGCCTTGCTCACCAGACTGTAAGCTCCGGGACGTCAGGGCCCATGTCTGTTTGGGTCAGTTCTTACCCAGTGCTTTGGTACAGTACTTCGTATGTTCATCTGTGGGATGAATGAATAAGTAAATCCAAACTCTCTGAGCTTTACTACCCTCATGCAAACTTCAAGATAATGATGTTCTTTAGAGAGATGTAGGGGGAAATTTAAAGAAAACCACTAGGGGAATGCCTCCCGTGGGGCTGGCATGGTGTGAGCATGGGACATTATATGTATATATGCCCAGCACCGCACACTTGATTCTTACCATCGGGTGGTTAAGTGCTCAGAGTTCAGAAGATATTCACAGCAGAACCTGTACTTCTAGCATCTCTTTCCAGCTCATGCCCCATCTCCACAGTGACACTGGGGGCCTTCATCCTAGATTCCCAGGCTGCCTCCTTCTGCTGCTCCTGTCTAGCCAGCAGGGAAACCCCTAGTTAGCTGGTCCCCTACTATCTCCACCTGCTTCCTTATGCCCCCAGGTCCTTCCAACTCAGGGTTGTTATTTGGTGGGGGCACACTGGGAAATCGTCACTGTGATTAAAATATTGAAATCCTCTCATGCCAGATGGTAAAAAAGTATGCGTTCATGAGACTACAAACCATCAAGCCCAGAGGTTACCAGGAGGCCAGATGCTGGAGAGGATGCTGGCAGCCCTCGCTGGCACTCAGTGGATGGGGACAGTGTGGGTAAGTGCCCTGCCTGCCCACTGCTCCAGAGCAGCCAGTGCTGGTGGGCACAATGGAGCACGTGGCAAGGCAGGCAGCCACTGTCACAGAGACTCTCTGACTCCAGACCACGCGGTAGGTGTGTGCGTTCCTAGCCATGATGTGTGGGCACTGGGCCACACTTCACTGGCTGCAAAGGAATGCCAGGTGCTAGGGACCTAGAGACTATCACTCTGATAGGGATGGCCTTGGGAGAATTTGATGCAGTCCCCCAGTCAACTATGGCTCAGACAGGGGCCTCCTACCTAGTGGTAGCCAGACAAAGGAAAAAAATCACTCCACAAATGAGTTGATAATTATCAGAGGGACTGAATAAATGATTTGTGCTACAATGTTTATTCCTAAGATGAAATGTCCCCATGAGTAATTTTGTTTAGTTAGAGATAGAAGGTAATGGCCTATTTTGGATTTATATATTAATTAATTATGGCCCAGACTGTACATATTTCACATATCCTCTTACCCTGAGCCCCTCCCAGGGGTCCTCCTCAGGGTCCTGCTTTACTTCTGTGGTCACTCTGACACACCTGGCTTTGCACTTGCTCTGGCCTCAGGCTGGGACACCTGCAAGACAGTTAGGTGTAGCTAATGTTTACAGGGAAATACTGTTTTTAAAAGTCAAATGCTTATATTACAAAAGAAGAAATGTCTCAAATTAATTAAAGATGATTGCCCTCCTTACTGAGGGTGAGCCTCATCTAAGCAGTTGATGGCATGAACAGAACAAAAAGGCTGGCCCTTCTGTAAGTAAGACAGCATTCCTTTTGCCTGGCTGTTGAGCTGGAACAGCCAGCCTTTGGACATGAACTGACACATCAGCTCTTCTTGGGTCTTGACTCTGCTGGTTTTTGGACTGGAACTGACACCATCAGCTCTCCTGGTTCTCAGACCTTCAGACTATCCATGTCTATCTCCTGTTGGTTCTGTTTTTCTGGAGAACCCTAACTAATACCAGCCCCCATTCCTCAGACTCCCTTTCGTTCTCCTAGTGTTGGCATGCGTTGGTGTCCGTCAGGGGCCATGAGAAGGAAAACCTCCACCCCAGGAACCTGTGGTCACTGTATTAGACCTCTTAATTCTGTTGTGTCCTCCCCCTCTGGGTGCCTCCCCATCATGTTGTTGAGTCCTGCTCCTGGGTGGGCAGTCACCCTGAAAAGATGGTGAACTGGCCCAGAGGGGTCATTCTGAAAGCACTAGCTGAGTCACAGGGAGCCTTGCCCAGGGGCTGGGCTTAGCCGCGCGGCTGCTAATCCATCTCCAAATGGCTCCTGGCTCAACCCGTATGGAATTAAGTTCAGAATTAAAATTCAGAGCTTGTTCTGGACCCAAAGGGCAGACTTGGCTATTTTCCTCAGGGATAAAAAGAGGCCCAAGGCTGGCCTGGGATGTGTTGCTGCAGCAGTTGGGAGCAGAGGGGCCAGTGGATTGGTGAATTGTCTGTTGTGTTGAGAGGAGACAGAGTTGTTGTAACCACGGGGTTTATGGATGTAATGGCAGAGCCTGGAGGGGGCCAGAAGGCTAAAGAACCCTCAGACGGGAAACAGCCTCCTGCCCACCCTGCTCCAAAACAGCAGCTCTCCCTGCAGGCCGGGCACCTGCTCTCCTCAGAGTGGCCACCTCCCCCTGGGCCTAGCTTTAAGTGGGCTAAAAAACAAAATTCAACTGAGTAAATGTGAAGATCTGATTGGCTTTACTCAGTGATTCAGGAATTCTGCGGCATCTCACTGAATAAGAAGGGCGCTCACTGGGAGGAATTTTACCAAATGGAAGGTTCTTAAAGGCAGGAGGAGGGTGGGGCAAAGAAGCTACTAGCAAAAGAAAAGAAAGGTTTGTTTCAGCCAGTTCACCTTCTTTTGGGGGAAGAATGAAGGGCTATCATGCAGATTATCTCTTCATTCCTACGTGGGGGAAGGCACGCATGCCCCTCCCCCACCACAGATTACCTCATTGATGCTGACCAGAAAATTCCAGACTGGCCAATTACCATTACCTTCCTGGGGAAGGTCAAAACTACAGTTAGGTCAGGTAGTAAATCAGGTCGGGTGGCATGGATTTTAGTGCAGGTGACGCCATTTGGGGCCTTTGGTTTTTCTCTTTAACAGGTGGCTGCCTGCTTTTCTCCTAATTTTCTGGTAATCCCCTTCCAGAGGCTGCCTGTGGCCGTGGCAAGAGCTTTGACTGCCACAGTGCCCTAGTCTGGTGTGCAGGGGCCTCCTTTCAGGCTCCATAGCCCTCCTGTCATTTCTCCCACATGGCCTAGGAGCCCCCCCTGCATAGGAGGCCCCTCCAGTCTCCTAGCATTCCCAAAGGGGTGAGTCATTTGACACCCCATGCCTGTAACCACCCCCTCCTGATCCATAAATGCCTGCGTGTTCTGGGAGCTCGGCCTGGCATCCGTGGGAGCACACTGTCAATCCCCGCTCCATCCTGGCTCCGCTTTCCAGGAGGGGACCAGAAAACCTGATGAATAAAACCCATCAGGAAGCCTTGACCTGGGAGTCGGTCAGAACTCCTGCGAGAAGCGGCAATGTTACAATTAAGTAAAGGATGACCTCAATTCGAAGAAAGTGTTTGTTGAATTGAATCTTCAGCGGGTTAACTTTCCTCAGATGAAGAAAAATGATATTTGGGATTAAGTCTTCACCACACTGAATGCATTATTGGACTTCTGCTCCTCGTCACTGGGAAAGGGACGTAACCTTCATGTCTGCGGGGATGGCGACAGCCGGCACAACCACCGGGTGCTGACTGACCACGGAGGATTAAGGCTAACACAACGCATTACACACAGAGAGTAAGCTGATTTGTTTTTGTTTTTAAATAAGCCTTATTAAACTGGCTGCCACTCACGTTGGATCTGCGGGAGCATCGCGGGGTCGGGCTTCGCCGTCCCTGGCTTGGCCGGCAGCGAAGCTGCTTTTAAACAACTGCTCGTTCCTGCTTCCGAGCCGGGAATGACCTGCAGAGCCTCGGCCTCACTGCTGCAGGGCCCGGGGGACAGGCCGGGAGGCACATCTGGGAGCAGCTGCGTGTTGCTGAGCGGCAAGGCCACACACTGTCCCGGGTCAGGCGGGCATGGTGGGGGTCCCTCCGCTGTTCTCACTGCATCCATCCGCCTTTCCCCACTGTACTTGACTTCCCATTCACATGACCTCGCCTCCTACCCCCTTTCCATCCTCTGCACAAGCCGTCTGGAAACCCTGCCTCGTTCCAGACTAGATCAGCTGTTCTCAACGTGTGTTCTGGGGATGCTCAGGAATCCCCTGGACGCCTTCAGGAGACCCACAAGGTCAAAACTATGTTCACAAGAGAATATCACAATGTTATTTGCCTTTTTCCCTTTCATTCTCTCACGTGTGTGGTGGGGCTTTCCAGAGGCTGCGTGACATGTGATGACATCACCATCCTGATGGACTAGGTACTTCTGGGTTCTTGTTTGCTAAATAGTTCTCAGTTTCAATTTTGACTATGGGAAATATCAATAGAGATAAACCACATAAACACAAGGCCTTTGGGGTTCTTCAAAATACCTTAAGAGTGTAAAGGGGTCTCGAGAGCAAAAAATTTGAGAATCTCTGTTCTGTGTATTTCTTGTTTTTTCCTTCAAGGCGAAGTACCACGGTTATCGTAGTACTTACGCATTTTTTAAAACCATTTAACACATGTGGAAACTCAGGTTCACTCAACAACTAAACCCAACATTGAAACAACTTGAATGTCCATCAACAAGAGACTGGGTTTTATATTATTTATTTAATTTAATTTTTTCCTTTCTTATTTTGCTTTTTTAATGGAGGCACTGGGGATTGAACCTAGGACCTCGTGCATACTAAGCATGCTCTCTACCACTGAGCATGGTAGTCTCCCTAGGAGACAGGTTTTTAAAATCATTAGACTGAATGTTTGTGTCCCCAGATTTTGAAAACTAACCTTCACCGTGATAATTGAAGGTGGGCCTTTGGGGAGGTGATCAGGTCATGGGGGTGGAGCCCTCATGAACAGGATTAGTGCTCTCCTAAAAGAAACCCTAGAGAGCTCCCTCACCCTCCTGCCACGTGAGGACACCATGGGAAGAGGGCCATCTGTGAAGCAGGAAGCACGCTCAGTCACTGAACCTGCCAGTGCCTTGATCTTGGACCTCCCAGCCTCCCGGACTGGGAGCATTAAATTTCCATTGTTTACAAGCCACCCAGCCTGTGATAGTTTTGTTATAGCAGCCTGAAAGGACAGAGGGGACAACGGGACATCCATGCAGTGGAATGCAACACAGCTGTTAAAAAAGAATGGGTCTGCTCCATACCTCATGAGCTGGAACAATTCCCAGCAAATATTGGCAATTTTTTTTAACAGCAAATTTAGGAATATTGTGTGTCCCCATTTTGTCTAGGGATAAAAAGCCAGTAGATCAATGTGTTTTTTATAAGCAATAAAAAAAATCAATGTACATATCAAAATAGTAGTCCTCGAAAAGGTGGGATTAGGAGAAAGAAGACTGTGAACTTAAAATATATATATATACCCATATATTGTGTATTGTGTGATTGGGTTCTAAATTTGCACAATAAAGTAGGAAAAATTCCTGAATTACTCTGACGAGGTGCTGTCATTCTGAGCAGTGGCGGATGTGTCCTGGGGCCCTGTGGATACCTAGTACTTCACTGCGGGTCAAAGCAGAACAACCCAATACCTGATTCCCTAAGCATCCCCCTCCCCTCGCCACCCCCCAGCATCTTGTGCCTTCTGCACAAGAGTGTATGTGGGTAGGTGAGTAGGGGTGAGGGAGAAGGGGTACAGCTCCAGCCAGTCCCTATAAACCCCTTATCCCATGCATCTCCATCCACAAACCCTGCTGAATAACCAAGAGTTGAAAAAAGCCGGTCTTGAGGATGGGGTTTCTAAGACGGAGGTGAAGTATTCACATGCAAGGGAAGTAGGTGGAAAATTTGAACAAAACCCTGGAGATGGCTGGCAGAGTCCCAGGAAAGCTCAAATTATCTCCAGGCTTGAATTTTCCTGGTAGAGACTTAAATTTTCCTCATCCCCTTGGACGGGGAATCCAGCTGGCAAAGGAATCCCGAGTAACGTGGGCCCCTGCTGGCCATTTCTCTCCACTTCCTGTCTCTCTGGGCTCTACCTCTCTCTCCGTTTCAGTCTCCCCACCTTCTTTCTCAGTCTCTAATTCTTGCCTGTCTCTCCTCTTCTTATCTGCATCCTCACCTGCCACTCAGGGCCCTAGGGCTGGCCTGGGAGCGCAGAGCCTCGTGGGCTCAGCCCCTGAGAAGCAGAACTGTGCCCAGGTGGGCCCCCTCTGGCTCCATAAGGCAGCTTGCCTTGGAGTTTGATCCGCTGGATTCCTTTCCTGGTTTAGTCTTCTCTTTTCCTCACTTTTTAGCTCCATGGTGAGGAAGGCTGGGAGGCAGGGGAACCTTTGAGAAGCTTCTCCACTAGGTGAACTGAGACTTGGACTGGAAGGAAAAGGCTGGGCAGGGGCTCCGCGCTCCACAGCTGGGCAGTGGAGAGCACACTGCTTATGTTCCCCCGGTTTCATCAACCCCAAAGTTTTA